TAGTAATTGTTATATTTATATCTTAGAATAGTAGAAGCTTTATTATTTTCTTATCTAACTTCTCTACTACTATCTCTACTATGTCTTTAGTAATTATTATATTTATATCTTAAGATAATAAGAGCTTTATTACTACCTTTCTACTTCTCTAGTTTACTATTACTACTTTTACTACGTCTTTAGTAATTATTATATTCGCATCTTAGAATAGTAAGAGCTTTATTATTTTCTTACCTAACTTCTTTACTACTACCTTTACTACGTTCTTAGTAATCTTTATATTCGTATCTTAGAATAGTAGAAGCTTTATTACTTCTTCTCTACTTTTCTAGTTTACTACTACTACTTTTACTATATCTTTAGTAATTACTATATTTATATCTTAGAAGAGTAGAAGCTTTATTATTTTCTTATTAAACTTCTCTACTACTATTTCTACTACGTCTTTAGTAATTATTATATTTATATCTTAGAATAGTAGAAGCTCTATTACTACCTTTCTACTTTTCTAGTTTACTACTACTACTTTTACTATATCTTTAGTAATTACTATATTTATATCTTAGAATAGTAGAAGCTTTATTATTTTCTTATTAAACTTTTCTACTACTACCTCTACTACGTCTTTAGTAATTATTATATTCGTATCTTAGAATAGTAAAAGCTTTACTACTTTCTTTCTACTTCTCTAGTTTACTGCTACTACTTTTACTACGTCTATAGTAATTATTATATTTATATCTTAGAATAGTAGAAGCTTTATTATTTTTATATTAAACTTTTCTACTACTACTTCTATAATATCTTTAGTAATTATTATATTTATATCTTAGAATAGTAGAAGCTCTATTACTTTTTCTCTACTTTTCTAGTTTACTACTACTACTTTTACTATATCTATAGTAATTATTATATTTATATCTTAGAATAGTAAGAGCTTTATTATTTTCTTATTAAACTTCTCTACTACTACTTCTACTATATCTTTAGTAATTATTATATTTATATCTTAGAATAGTAGAAGCTTTATTATTTTCTTATTAAACTTCTCTACTACTACCTCTACTACATCTTTAGTAATTAGTATATTCGTACCTTAGAATAGTAGAAGCTCTATTACCTCTTCTCTACTTCTCTAGTTTACTGCTACTACTTTTACTACGTCTATAGTAATTGTTATATTTATATCTTAGAAAAGTAGAAGCTTTATTATTTTCTTATTAAACTTCTCTACTACTACCTTTACTACGCCTTTAGTAATACTTATATTCGTATCTTAGAATAGTAGAAGCTCTATTACTTCTTCTCTACTTCTCTAGTTTACTACCGCTACTTTTACTACGCCTTTAGTAATACTTATATTCGCATCTTAGAAAAGTAGAAGCTCTATTACTTCCTTCCTACTTCTCTAGTTTGCCGCCGCTACTTTTACTACGTCTTTAGTAATCGTTATATTCGCATCTTAGGATAGCAGGAGCTTCATCATTTTCTTGTCGAACTCTCCTGCCACTGCCTCTACTACGTCTTCGGTGATTGTTATATTCGCATCTCGGGACAGCAGGAGCTCCATCATTTCATTGCTGAGAAGTGGTTCATTGCTGAGAAGCGGTTCATTGCTGAGAAGCGGTCCATTGCTGAGAAGCGGTTCATTGCTGAGAGGCGGCTGATTGGTGTGAGACGGCGGCATGATGTATCCAAGAATACGAGAGAAAAAGACAAGTTCGTGTGTGCTATAGATTTGCGGAGCGCTTACATCCCCGAAGCAGGCACCTCGCGAAGGACGTCGCACCTCAGGCAGCCAAGCTTCCTCTCAGCCGCCTCAGCCGCCTCAGCTCAGCCTTACTAGGCGCAGGGAAACCGGGCTGCCTGTCTCAGCCAGATTTCAGCCTGGTTGCTGGTCTTCCCCTACTCTATCAGGATTTCGCAACCCCCAGCTTGAGCGCGCACCTTGCCGCACCGAATGTTCAGTGCCGATAATGGTAGGGAAGCTGGACGAAGCACGCTAAGACCGACGCGGAAATAGGTTCGGCCGGTGACGGACGACACATCGGGCTGAAAGTCCTGCGCGAGTTCCGAGTCGCGCCGGAAGAAGCGCAGATTATTGAGTGCATTCTTTCTTGCCTTTTTCTTAATCTGTATTCCCAACTCTATATTGATCTGCCTCAGCATCGTCACGATCTACGGCATCGGTGCCCACCCGGACGACACCTGGTGCAAAAATGTGGGCACGGCGCAGAGCCCGCAGTGGTTCAACTGGCGCGACAGGGACGACATGCTACCGGCAGTGGCGCCGAATGCGCGCATTATGCGATATGGATACCAGTCTCAGTGGTTTTGGGAAGGGGCAGTGAGGCAGAAGGCGTCGATCGCTGCACAGCGGTTGGTGCTGGCGTTGAGGCGGAAAAGCGAGTTGCAAACCCTGCGCGGATATTATTTATTACCGCTAATTCAGCCAGGAGTATCCATTCCGCTCGCTGACCTTTGTAGCACACTGCTTCGGTGGGCTGGTTGTGCTGAAGGTAAGTATGCGAGCTAAGCTAGACACGCCCGCAATTAACGGTTTACAAGCACTCCTAGATATCCGACACGATGAGAAGGAGTGGCTCCGCTTATTCACATCGACTAGCCGCTTGATACTTTCGGTATGCCGTTCCGAGGGGCTGAGGGAATGTGCCAGGTAGAGATGCTCGAGGCAGCGCGGAGGGAATGCCAGGAGGACGAGGTGCAGCCAGAGGTACTAAAGATATTGGAACCGGAAACGAGTTCCTTCAGGAGGTGGTCGACCAATTTGGGAAGATACGGACGGGAGCGAACAAGGCCTAGGTTGCATGCTTCTACGGGCTCAAGTCAAGCAGTGTAGGAAAGGTTATAGGGTAGGAGGATTGGACAGTACGTTTGGCAAAGGGTTATGCGTTTTACAAGGTTCTAATTGCCTTCGCAGAGATTCGTGGTAAGCGAGACCTCTGGCTGCCTCGAAATATCTTCGACGAGCAAGTTTTCGATCTCACGTACCCATTTCGAATGAACAAATTTGGGAGAGCTATGGAGGAGGATTTTGAGACGGTGAGGGATGCTATTCACAAAATAATCGGAATGGCTCACCGTCGCGCCCGGTCAACCCTTATTAAAGAGGCGTCCCTGTAGCCGGTCAATTCGTCCTATGCGACGCCTAGATGCGAGAACTTGAACGACTCTTTCTCCACAAGAAGCCTACGATGAGCCGTCGAAAAATATTCGTCATCCGTGGTGTTGGCGGGATAGGCAATCAGTTGAGTTTGTACGGGGCCACCATAGCAGATTCAGCGCGATATTTCGGCTGGACGGATGGTTAGAGGACAACCTGAAGCAGTCATTTGTAGACATGGCGCAAAGACTGCCGCAGGATAATCTAACGGCAGTTTGCGTGGAAATGCTAAAGCATTCCATAATAGATGTTAACGTGGCAGTGCGAGTGAGTCTCCATTGGTTGTCCCTACGGAGTGCATCAAAGCCTGATGCGAGGACTTCACTTCGAGAATTAAGAGGGAGGACGAAAATCGGACTAAGCGTAATAAAGCATGGGAGCTATTGCTTAGAGCGCCGCTCAGCACGCGTAGATAACTTCACGGGACGAGACTTACTACCAAAAGGAGCCAAAATCCAGATACTTTGCATCCGGATTTCTATCAGAAGCTGAGCGATAGAGCTAGGGAAAATTGAAGTTGTGTGCAATGCTGGCTATCAGACTCTGAGCGGCTGAGGTGCTGTGGGCTAGACGCATGGTTGGCCAGTAGATGTGTGCATAGAGGACGGTACAGCGCGCTCGCAAATACCTTGAATTCTCTCTGCTTTGGAGCATAGACCTGGCGCGTGTTCTCCGGTCGCTGTTCACGTATCGTAGTTAGAATATGGTGGGCGTTGGCGCGCAGCTCTGCATTGTTCGCGATGATGATGTTTGCGCGCCGGTCGTGTTGCGGTGGACCCATACTCAAGACGTCGGCCCTGGCCGACGGCGTGCAGCAGCAGAGGTAGACAGGTAGGCAGAAGTTGGAGCTCGAGCTTGAGCTCGAAGACGCCTGGCGATGCTTCCCCTCCCTATATGCAGCCTCGTGAGCAGCAGCGGCTGCAGGTTGACATGACGGCGGATGCTGTATATCTTTCAAAGCCAGAGTTCAGCGCGCTATACCGCAGAGGGAGGTAAGTTACCGAGGATCCCAGGACGCATCGCCTCAAGCAGATGGCCAATGGGCGGACGATGCGCAAGATGATACGGAGCGATCCAGTCTTAGGCTCAGAAATTCAGCCGCAGACTCAGCGGCCGGCGTGGTGGGAGCGAGATGTCCACAGGGAGCCCTAGAGGAGCATCCCGCTAAGCCGACACCATAAAATCCGACTCTGGATTGGGAGCAGGGTTGAAGCTATTGTATCTATCGCGTGCAATAATCCGTAGAAATCTTGGCGACACCTGAAAATTCGCGCGCGCGCGGGGAAACCCATCCAAAATCCAGAAATCCGTGAATCGATCGATAACGCCGCGATTAATTGTTAAATAACTACTAGTAAGTCGTAAGACTGTACAAATACGTGTATAGGGCTATACTAACGATTTTTTTAGTAGAGTAGTCTGTTAAAATAAGTAACAATCGCCTATAGAGGGCGCGTAGAGCCCTCTTACAGTCTAAAGAGTAAACTAAGAGTAATAGAGTAGCTAGAAAGGCGCGTATAGCTTATAAGAGTAGTAAGAAGATCTCTAAGAAAGCTACTATAGCTGCCTGTAAGAGTACTAAAGAGCGTCTAGTAAGTAGTAAGAGTCTAATAACTTACGCATAGCATAGAAGAGTCTACTAGGTAGAGTAGCTAATAATTAATAGTACTCTAGTAACTTAAGTAATACCTACTCTAGTAGTTAATTAGACTACTCTTACTCTAGTTAGTATATAGAATACTATAAATAAGTAGTAAGCTCTACCTCTATTATTACTACTACTAGTAAAGCCTACTTATATTAATCTTATTATTAAGAGTACGCTACTACTACTATTACCTACTACGCTACGTACGTATAAGTCTTTTTACTCTCTACTACCTAAGTTATTATTACTAATTTTATAAGTAGAGTTTAACCTAGAGGTAGATTATAAGCTTATTATTAATAGTAAGAGTACTATTTACTACCTACTAGAGAGGTATAATTACTATTTTTAGTAGCTTAATATAGTAGAGAAAGTTATAAATAATATATTAGAGTAGCTAGAGGCTTAACTTAGTAGGCGTAAGTTTAATTTTAAGAGCTATATAGTAGCTTTTTAAGTAGACGTAAAGTTATAGAAAGTACTTATAACGCTAGCTAATTTTAGCTATGTAGAGAAGAATAAGCTTTTTAAAGCTATAGAGTACTAAGTTAGTAAATTACTAGGCGTTTAGCTTATAGAGGTTACCTTTAAGATACGCGTTAAGGCTAAAACTCTTAAAAAGGTCTTTAAGCGTAATTAATTATTTAATAACCTATTATCTAATATAGGTAAGATAACTCTATAACTAGAAAAGCTAACGCGCTATTAATAGTAGCTTCTTAATAAGTTAAAAGCTATATAGCGCGTAAAGAGCTAATTATTAGTATAGAACTAGAAGAGAAGTCTTTATTAGTACTAGCTTTACTATAATAGTAAGTATATAAACTTTAGAAACTAGTATTAGGTAATATCTAACTATAAGTACTACGCTATTAGTACTACTAACTTAAAGTTCTAGATAAACGTAATTATTACTAGCTAGAGTAAGCTTCTTACGCTACTAATAACTCTTATTAATTACTAGTAGAGCCCTGCTAGCAGAGGCAACTAGCTAAAGCGTTAGAGAGGTAAAAAGTACTTAAAAGGCTAGCGTAGCTATTATAGTAACTTAGAGAGTAATAGAAGTAATAGTAAGAGTAACTTCTAGTATAACTTTAATTAATGTAAATACTAGAAGAAGCGCTAGAGAGCTATTAATAAAGCTTACTAGCGTAATAAAAAATATAAGCTACTTAAGCTCTAGCGTAAGAGCGTTTAGTTATAGTAAAGCGCTATTAGATTTAGCTAGCCTATAGTACCTATAGCTCTCTAAATAGGCTATTCTACTTATTCTATAGCTCTATTAGCTTCTATATTATAGCTTTAATAGCTATAGTAGTATTACTTACCTCTACTAAGTTAGTATTCGTGTACGCTAGATAGCGCCTTCGCTCTTTCTATTATTAGTTTAAGCTCTATAAGTGGCTAGAAGAATATAAGAGTAATAGTAAGAGAGTTTTTTAACTAGCTAATTAACTAGTAGCTAGAGAATAATTATAAGAACTATTAGTAGGCTTAAGATATAGTAATATTAGAGAAATAGACTATTAAAGATCTTAAGAAGATATTAAGTATTAGAGAAGAGCTCTATAAGATTATAGTTAGTAAGCGCTTTAAACTAAAGAATAGAGTTATTAGGTATCTATAAGATAACTTAAAGAAGTATAAATAGTACTATAGAGTAGCTACTACTACTATTAGGCTTATAAGTATAGGTAATAGAGGTGCTATAGATAGTAGAGTTACTAGTTAAGTTAATAATAATTATAGAGTATAGACTTTACGTAATTAATATTTTTTACTATGTTACTACTTTACTTAGTAGTAAATTTTTAACTTAATAAGTTTAATAGCTTTTCTAATAACTTTACGCTCTATTACTATCTCTATATCTTTCTACGTATTTTCTAGAGCTACTTCTAGCTCTCTATTCTATATAAGCTATTAGTAGCGTGCTTAAAGTACTTTTTTATAAACTAATTATAGTAACTTTTATGAATAGAGTCTCTTAGAAAGTTACTAAAGTTATTAAAGCGCTACTATATATAGTAGTAGTTATAGTAGATCTAGGCCTTTAGAACTCTAAAGGTAAGCTTAATTAGGTTAAAATTAGGCGAATAAGGTAGCAGAAATCTAATAATATAGCTAGCTTTCTTAATTACTCTTACTACCTTCTAGTTTATATAAATTAAGACGTTATTAAGTATTATAACTATAGGCTTCTAGCTATACGTTATCTAAAGTATAGATAGTAGTAAATTATAAATCTAATTAAGAAAGTTCTTATAGCTAAAATAGCTCTTCTTTATACTAGTATAGAGTAGATAACTATTAACTATATATACTAGAAGAATAGCTTAAGTTTTACTATACTATACGTTCTAGAAATATTAATTAGTAAACCTAATTAGAGTATACGCTCTATACTACTAGCTAGTCTTCTTATTAAAGATAAACTTATTAAAAAATACTAAATTAGTAGTAATAAATTACCTTATATATCTATAATAAGCTTTATAAAGCTCTTTATTACGTAGTATTAATATAGGCTATAGAGCGTACTTACTCTAGCTATAATTCTTTAGTAGCTAATTAATAGTAGATTAGTATACTTAAACGCTTCTCTCTATCTATAGCTAGTATATAATCTTATTCTAATATATTTAACTACTTTAAAATAGCTTATTATATAGCGCTTACTTATTATTAGGTAATAATTTACGCGAGTAGCTAAGTATAGTATTAGAATTACTAGGCTTATAGATACTTCTATAAAGCTTTAAGTTTTACTTAATATAGTATATCTCTAATAATAGTACGTTTACTAAAGATATAATATTACTATAGCGCTAGCTAAGTAGTAGAAAGTAATATATATTAAGTTAATAATAAGAATCTAGTCTATAGCCTTTAGTTATAAGCTCTTAGAGTATAGTTAGTAGATAACACGCCTATATAGGCGTAAAAGAGCGAGAAGTAACTCTATAAGCTTAAAATATAGACTACTCTACTAAAAAAATTATTAGTATAGCTTTATACACGTATTTATATAGTCTTATAACTTACTAATAGTTATTTAATAGTTTATAGACTATAATTAACGCGTTATAGTTAAATTTATAATTTATATAAGAGTTTCTACGCGTACGTAAATTTTTAGGTATTACTAAGATTTTTATAAATTATTATACGCAATAGATACTTATATTATAAAGAGCTAGAGTACCTTAGATATAGACTAGATTCTTTCTATATTTAAATATATCTAAAAGATTATACTTATTACTACTATCTTACTACTATAAATCTCTAGTTTAATCTTTAGAAACTAGCTAATTCTTATACCTCTTAAGATAAGCTTTATATATAAGCTTTATATATAACTTATAAAGTATACTATACTTTTTAAATTCTTCTAAAGCTATCTTCTTTATATATAAAATTTTCTATATATTAACTAGTTTCTACTCTAGCTATAGTAGGTTATATAAGTTATCTACCTTATACTACCTCTTTAGCTTAAGAAGTATAATTAAGTTAACTACTACTTTATAGAAGTTACTCTTAAGTTTAATAATACTTAGAATAGTATTATTTTATTATTTACTTTTAAAGTCTCTAATAAATTCTATATAATAGAAGACTATAAACCTCTTTACTACTATTTCTTAGTTTAAAACCTAATTAGGTATTAAGAGTATAAACGTTAGTAATATTAAAGCTATATTTATAATTATATTTATATCTATAATAAAGTATAATTTAGAGCTTTTAATTTACCTTTAACCTATTACGCTTAAAACCTAGAAAACTATAAAGTAAATTATTATATTATTATATACGTGCACTATAGTTATAAGATTCTAAACGCTAAGTATAACTACTAAATTCTAAACGTATAACTATTAAATTCTAGACGCTAAGTATAACTATTAAATTCTAGACGTAGCTTTACTAAGTAGATCTACTATTCTAGCTTAATAGCTTATTATAACTACGTATTAGAAGCTAGAGCTATAAATAGTCTATAGTTACTATAATTCTATTATTAGTTTTATTATTTATCTACGCTATATACTCTCTCTAATACTATAGCGTTTAGTAAGTAGTACTAACGTTCTTTTAGACTAGCTACTTCTCTGCGCTATTATAGCTTTATACCTATCTACTACTCTTTTACCTACGCTTCTTTTATCTACGCTTCTTTTTAGAATAATTAATTATGCTATCTACCTTATTATAGTGTTATAAGTAACTAGTTACTTAATTACTTCTCTTTACTCTATTCTAGATTCTCTTTTCTATAACGCTGTAGCTACGTAATATAAGCTTTATAAACTTAAATATTATAGGCTTTAAGGTAATAGCGTAGGCTATATTTAAAAGGTATAAAGCGCTATACTATTATTAACGTACTAAATATAAACTAGCTAAGAATAACTCTTTAAGTAAAGATTATATAAGACTATTAAAAGATTTCTACTATAAAGCTCTATTAAATTACTAGGCTAGCTATATAATTAGAAAGCTATATATTATCTTTCTAGCGTAAATATAGAAGATCTATTCTCTCTTTACTTTACTATACTTATATTAGGCTATCTCTTTCTCTTTTAATTTACTAAGATAATACCTAGTACTATTTATAGCTTAATATTACTAGATATAGTTACTACTTTATATAACCTAGTTATATATATATATAGCTATATTTCTTATATTCTTAATTAATTAACTTATATCTTAATACTCTATAATTTACCTAATAGTTATAAGCCTAGATTTACCTACTACTATAAATTAAACCTACTAAGTTTATTTAATATAATTAGATAATAGAGTTACTAACTTATATATCTTGTTATTACTAATAGATTCTAGAGTTACTCTAGAAATACGCTATATATAATTAAATTTACTTTATATACTATAATTTCTATAATAGAGAATACTATTATAGTTACTAACGTTATAAAAGCTATTAAGATTCTTAGTATACTATAGAATTAGCCTTACTAGAAGTTTCTTATAAAAGAAAAGGCTATATAATATAGAGTTTAGGCCTACTATAACCTAGATCTAAAAGAGATAAAACGTAAGAGAATCTAGAAGAAGCCTAAACGTCTAACGCTATTAATAATTAAGTAAGAAGCTATAAAAATAGAGAACCTTAACGCTAATAAAAAGTTAGAGTACTAGAACTAGAAAGAAAGATATAAGAAGAACCTTAAAAAGTACTTTCTTATATAGAAAGGTCTAAGAGAAGTATTAGTATATATTACTATAATAATTAATATCTACCTTATACTATATATTATAGACAAGAATATAGCCTATAAAAAGCTTATAAGCTTAAAGAAATAGGTTACTATAACTAACGCGTTATGTTAAGACGTACTACTAGAATAATATAAGAAAGTCTAGAAGACCTAGAAAGGTAACAAACTAGATAACTAGCTTAATAAATAGATTTAGATTACTAACTATATAGCTAAACTTAATATACTAGACGTATAGAGTACACGAGCCTAGAGAGAGCTACTTAAAGCTCTTTAACTAATTAATAAAGCGTACTCTACGCTTAGAATTACGTAGCTATTTATCTAGCTAGAAAATTAAGCTCTTATAGTTATAGATCTTATCGCAGAATTTAGATAGCTATAAAGAGCTACTAAACCTATTATAGCTAGCCTAGAGATATATATAATACTAGGTATAGTATTATAATAATAGAACTAGAACTAGAGACGTAGTAAGTTTTAAGAAAAAATACTAGAGTACTTCTATAGGCGTTGTTACTAGTTTAGTAAGTACTTTTACGTTAACCTAAATATCTGTCTAACAACCTAGAAGCCTAATACGAAAATTTAGGCTAAGTTTAATTAGAAAAAGAAGAAAAAGAAGTAGGCTAAGAAGCTTAAACAAGCTACTAATTAGTCCTCTAAATAGCGAAATAAACCTACGCTAAAAGCAAGTACTACTCTACTAAGCTTTAATAATAACAAGCTAATAAGTAGTACCTTTTCTATTAACTCTATATTCTACTTCTTTAGTATAATAGCTAATATTTTAGAAACTTAGAAGATAGTTCTAATAGCTTTACACCTTATTAATAGGTAGATCTATAACTCTAGCTCTAATATTTATATTTATAACTTAGAGAATTAGAGCTAGAAAAAGATAGTAGAAGCTAACTTAAACGTTATTATATACGCTAGAGGGCAAGCTATAAGAGTTAAGGCTTAGAGAAAGGTAATTCTCTAGACTAATACTCTATTAGAACTAACTCTAATACGCTTTACCTATATAGTATTAGTAGAGAGCTTCTTTATAAACGTTATAGAGCTTACGCGCTTTTAAGATATTAGAATCTACTTTAACTCTAGCTAAAACATTCTATATAAGAATAAGCCTAGTAATATAGTCTATAACTTAGAGTATAAATAGAGGTACTAGCTACTTAACGTAGATAAAAATAGCTACTCTAATCTATAGAAAATATTTACTATATTTATAATAGTATATTAACTATTAAAGAATTTATAACTAGTAATAATTACTACTAGAGCTAAGGCCTATTAACTATAGGTATATCTAAATAAGAAAGCTATTACGCACCTAGAAGAGGCTATTACTAGCTTTAAGCTTAAGAAGAATATACCTCTAGTTAACTAGAAGAACTATAATACCTATATATAGTTAAAAATAAATTATTAAGTCTTCTAGAGACTTAGATTAACGCCTATAAAGCGTCTCTTCTACTAAATAGAGATAGATTTAGTTTAACTACTACTAATAGAAGAAACCTATTTTAATAAGAATAAGTAGAGACTTTATATAATTAATAAATTCTTAGACTAGTATAAAGAATATACGTTATCTATAAAAAGTAAAGTAGTATTAATATCTACTATATATAGAATAATTACTAAACTATAGCGTTAATTTAAGTACTTAGTTATTATACTTAGAACTAATAATAAAAAAAGTTTTAGTAATAAGCTTACTAAGATCTATATTAAATTAGGTATTAAATATAAGCCTAGCTTACCTAAGATACCTAAGTAGAATAGTTATATAGAGAAAGCTAGAGACGTAATAATTATAAAAAGCTAAGTAATAAGAATTATAGCTAGATTACTTAAGAAGCTAGCTTTAGAGCTATTTATTATAGCTATTTAGATTCTTAATATTATACTAATTAAATTAAATAGCTAGAAAACTCTATATAAGGTAGTAATAGGTTATAAACTATTAGTAGCTTATTACGCCTCTATTAGCTATTAAGCGTATATTTATAGAAAGAACCTTAAGAAAGCTAATAAACTAGAAGTACGTACTTATATTAGATACCTACTAGAATAGAACTTCTTAAATATCTTTAGAATCTAGATACTCTTAAAGAATAAGGTTATCTAAACTTAAGATATCTTATTTATACACGACAAGCTATATAAGAATAATAGTAGTAAATATAGAAAGTCTCTAGTAGTTAATATAATTAATATTAAGATGTATAATATTCTTTATAAAGAGCTTATAGTAGAGGTTAAAGATCTACTACTATAGAGCTAATTACGCCTATTTAATATAACTTTAGATAAATAAACGTTAATACTAGAGTAATATACACTAGCTAAAGAATTAGTAGAAGAAGATCTAGAAATATAAATCTAGAAGAAGTAATAATAAGCTAAGAAGCGTAATAAGTCTCTAAGAGGTTACTTAATTACTTTAGCGTTGTTAAGACACTCTACTCTATATAGTAAGAGCTTAAGAGGCGCGTTAAGAAAAACTAACCTCTCTAAGCTAAGCTTATCTACTATTTAAGCTAAATTACTATAAAGACCTCTTAGAGCTATAGAAGACTCTAAATATATACTAGATAGGCACTAGAATAATACTCTACTACGTTAAAACCTTAATTCTAAAGACCTAAGTAATATAATATAGAGTAGACGTAATAGATACTCTTCTCTAAGACCTAAATATATAGCTAGCGTAATTAAGGCGTATAAGAAAGCTTAAATATTTAACTTAATACTATTAATAAACTTATATAACTATATATTTATAGCTTTAGTAAGCTATATTAATAAACTAAGAGTTAATAGAGAGCCTATAAGGTTAAAATACTACTATAATTAGATACTACCTCTACCTAAGTATTATAAGAATATTAAAGGCTATATATTTAAAGCTAAGTTTAAAGAGGCTATATAGAAGAAGTTTAGTAACTACTTTAAGAAAGAGTACTTTAAGAAGACGTTAGTAACGCTAGCGTTAACTATAATAGAGTACCTTCTACTTATATAGGTATTATTATATAAATTTAATAAAGATAGATATCTACTTAAGTGTAAAGCTTATCTAGTAGTTTAAGAAGACCTCTAAATATAATAGAGCGATACCTATACTACTACCTTAGTAGCAAGAATCTTTTAAGCTCTAGTAGCTATAGTAACTATCTTTAGATTACTAATATATTAGTATAACGCTATAAACGCCTTTCTAAACATAAAGCTTCTATAGAAGCTCTACTACTATACTCTAGAAGGTTTTACTAGTTAGTTTAGTAAGCTCTTAGAGTTGTATTAAGCTCTATATAGGCTAAAGAAAGTACCTCTACTATAGTATAAGAACCTTATAGAGACTTTTAAGAAGTTAGAACTTATTAAAATAAGTATTATACTATGTCTATAGGCTAGTAATAAGCTTATAGTTTTCTTTTTTATTAATATTATTATTATACTTATCTACCTAGATAATATAGACGTTTACGTAGAGTTTAAACACTACCTACTTAAAAAGTATAAGATTAGAAAGATAGGTTAACTTAATTAGTTTCTAGGTATATAAGTTATAAGAGATATAGAAGTAGCGTTAACCTAGCTAATCTAGAATTTCTTTATTAATAAGGTTACTAATAAGTTTAACCTACTTCTAAAACTAGGTACTAAGTATCTATAATTCTCTATAAGAGAGAACAACCTTGTAAAATTTATAGAGGCACCTAATAGAGAGTAAACAAAGCTTTTCTAGTAGCTAGTTAGCTTACTAGTATATATTTTCTACTTTACACGTCTAGATATATTAAGAGCTTACTTAGTATTAGCTTAACACTTAATTAACCTAGGTTAATAATATCTTTATACTACTATACACGTGTAGTAATACCTTATAGAGTTAAAAACTCTTACGCTTAAAGCGTTATAATACGCTATAGAGAAGAAATACTTCTAGAAGGTAGATTTTAAAGAGTCTATCTTCTATAGAGCCTTAGATACTTTATTTAGTAATAACCTAGATACTAGAGTAAGCTCTAAAGGCTATATCTTTAAGCTATATAGATTATCTGTAGATTAGAAAGCTATAAAATAATAGATAGTAACTAAATTAATAACTAAGGTAGAGCTTCTAGCGCTTTTAAAGATAGCTTTAGAAATAGAGTAGTAGAACCTACTTTTCTACTACCTAAAGCTAAACCTTAATATTAAACTAAAGCTTTAGTGTAATAATTAGTAGACTATAGGTATAGTAACTAAGGCTATAGAGAAGCTTTAGATAAAGCTTAAATACGTTAACGTACACTAAATATAGCTCTACTAGAAAGTTAAGAACTAAAGAATTAACGTTAAATAGATTTCTATAAGTTAAATACTAGCTAATAGACTTATAAAGGTTCTATTATCTTAGAAACACGCCTACTTTATTTAATAGTTAGAGCTTAAGAATATTTTTAGTAAACTAAAGCTTTTACTATTCTTAGTAGAGTAGTAGAAGTTACCTAAGAACCTCTTACGCTAGTACTAGATTAGATAGTAAACTTAACCTAGGTAATATATATCTAATTTACTAGTATTTTAGAATCTCTAAGATAACTATTTATTTATATTTTACTTCTAGCTCTACTATAGAAGCGTATACTACACTAATTTAACTATTTTCTTATAATATTAACGTATATATATACTAGTTTTATACGTAATTCTATTATATCTTAACTAGCTACGTTTATTATAATCTATTAGATTAACTATAAAATTAATAGGCTATATTTATTATAATAAGCCTAGTTTTAATAAAATATATAGTAATATATTAACGTCTACTTAATAATCTACTCTATAAGATTACTATAAGCTATAGAGAGCTATAGTAACTATAAAAATACTCTAAAAGCTATTAGATAAGGTGTTTTTTCTTTTTACTTACTACTCTTAAGTTTAATTTACGCCTTTACTATTACTCTATCTCTCTTTTTATCTACGTAAAAGCTATAGAGGTTAGTAGTATAGAGGTGTTATACTATTACTTAAATACTTAAACGCTCTACTATCTAAACCTAACCTCTAGAACCTATATTAGACTTTTTAATTAGAAATAGGTATAGTCTTATATATAGATCTTTTATCTCTTTACTTTCTATACTTCTCTTTTAACTCTATAGAGTTCTCTTACAAGAGAGGTAGCTCTTATAGAATACTATAGTACTAAGAAGTGTATTTATAGAAGATAATTATTAATTACCTTTTTAGGTATAGTTAAAAGTCTTACCTTCTTAGATAGCTTTCTATATATACTCTAAGCTAGAGAGGTATATTACTAGATATAGTTACTACTTTACGTAATCTAGTTATGTATATATATAGCTATATTTCTCGTATTCTTAATTAATTAACTTATGTCTTAATACTCTGCAATTCACCTAACATAAACGGTATGATTAAAAGCAAAAACTAACGTTAAAGGAGTGCTTCCACTGTTTCATCATCGGCTTGTTGCTCAATTATTTCCAACATATCCAATAACAGACCCTGCATTTAATAGCCTTAAGTAAGCCCTCTTTTATTCTCGGAGTCGTTGGACTCGCGCTAAAATGTTCGAATCTCTTCAGGAGTCATTTGTCTCAACGATCCTACGCGCCGTACAGCTCGGCGGTAGCGACGCGATGTTAAAGTTGTAGGGTCAGCTTGGCTGCTTGCCGTAGTGTCTTCGCCTAGAGCAGCGCTGCTAGCCTCGTCTTCAGAATAATGACTAAGAGGTGCAAGCATGGCGAGCATTTCTTCGGTTGGTGTCCCCAGTTGCAAGTCGCTCACGTAGACCGAAGGTTCGTCGTCCAGACTACGTGCATTGCTATTCTCGACGACATCTCCAGTCGGGAGAGGAGTGTCCAGGCGGCGCATGGGATCGGAAGCGTGTCCACGATTGGGAACGTTTCCATTGGTAACCCTATGGCTAGCTGGAGTAGTGTTGAAGGGGTCGAAGCCGTCGCGTTCAAGGGTCCAGAATTCGTCCATACTTGCTGAGGGCTCATTATTCTGGGAAGAGATAGCCTCCTCTAGTCCTCCCCACTCTTCGGCGGACCAATCGTCTAAATAATTGGTTATGTTTATCGAAGTGGGCTGATTGCCTCTGTAGCTCTCTCCATTGACTGTTCGGGCACCACTGTTGCCCTGCGCTCGCTCATTTCCATGATTGACGCTTCCATTGGCTGCTGTTGGGGAAGTGCCCCGGCCTGTTTGATTGGAAGGATCCGGAAATCCCATCTCCCTTCTGTCTTCATCGGTCATTGGGGGTAGGATCGTGCTCGCAGGAGTGAACCCTGAACCATTGCCATGATCGATTTCTCCGTACCCGGTTGGGAGAGCATTACCCTGCTGGCTTGTTGGATTGGAAGTGTCTGAGGTTGGGGGGTTCGGTGCGCTGTCAAGATCGGACATGACACTGTTCGATTGAGCGGCGGACATGATGCTCTAGGATGGAGATGCTGATGATGTGAACATGCTGTCTAAGTATGGGCACTGCCCGTTCTTACCTTGGTGTTATAAGGGCAATTGATTCAAGCTGCCTTGGTACAGCAAACGGCGGTTGCTGTCGAACGGACTTTTTTGACTTGGCAGTGAGGGCTCTGCTGCCGGAGGAAGACGTCAACAGAAGATATGACAAACGACAAGCTTGATGTAGCCACAAAGAAGTGACTTCGAGGATAGAAGATGAAAAAGTGGCTTTGATCGCGGATTTATATGTCCTCGTCCACGCGGCATGCCTTCCCGCTCCCTCGAGCACGGCCGCAGAAGCAACAGCGGCATTCCCCTCACTGCGGAGACGCATGCAGGGCTTGCAGACAGGATACCTCATTTTTGACTAGCATATCCATACACACTTGATCCAAGAAGACGCCGAGTTATGCATGCCGATTTCTAGAGCGCCGGAACGCTCGGTCGAGCTGAGTCGTTAGGTGTATGCTGGTCGCCGTCTTGGGCGTGTCCACGGCCTGCATCTGGATCGCCGGTTCACATTGTTCGTGAGGTATGCGAGGCATATCGTTTAAGCATGGATCTCTGTGCAAAATACCTTGGGAACTGTCTTGCCTTAGTCTGTGGGCTTGCCGCGAGGCTTGCCGCGAGGCTTGCATATGGAATGCATAGGACGGCCGGTTGAACATATGGCGTGTTGCGAACCAAATCATGATTGGCACATCCCGCCTCTTTACGTGGGAACGGGCCTGCGAGCAACAGAGGCGGGGTATTCCAAATAATTCAAGTTGATTGGCTGCGTTACTGCTCTCCCGGATTAGAGATGATTCTCCTAGCAACCCAGCCACGCTCGCTTTGAAGGTTGATTGGTCTAGCGCAGGGGCAAAGTTGCCCACTACCGGTCCATTCTGCCGTAAAATCCCGGCTCTGTGAGTTCTCCCCGTCCCTCGTCTATTTAAGCCCCTGCCTTTCCTCGGCGAAATATTCCCCTCAGTCATCCATTTTCGCCCAACACCCTTGCTCAATCATCGCTCATCAATTTTCGCCCTTTACCCCCGCCCGGTCGCCTTCCCCGAACTCCCCACGGTCTTCCTCCCCATAGCACTGCCTCACCATGGATGAATACGTGCGGACAGTCACGTCTTTAGGCGCATACAGCCCTCAGGATTTGCCGCCCGAAAACTTAGAGCAGGTGCTTGACTCTCTGAAGCGGGAGACGTTGAAGATGGAAGTGGTAAAATTATTACGCCCAGCGAAAGATTTCCCCGTCAGTCGAGCTGCATCGCAACGACTCTCGGGCTTACTGAAATTCGTGTCGACTGGCGCCAAGCAGAGTAATGAGAGGGTGCAGGCGCTGCGAAGGTTGAATTGCTTTTCCCTGATCATCTGCGGACTTTGCCTGACTCAGAAGTCCGTCGAGGGCATGAAAAGGGAACTTTTCGACGCGTTCATTGAGCAAGTAACCAACATGCCGCAAGGCAGCATTCACGCCATCGCAAAGGATAGTGGAATCCATAAGGCCGTCTTATTATCCGATACTGACCAGGAATTTTTGCAAAGTAAGGTCTCTAAAGGCACTACCTAAGACCTAAGTGTACTGACGGAGAAACAGATTATATTCGGCTGCAGAATTCAATAAATAAACCAACGCTTGTTCGTCCCCGATATTCGCTGAGTGGGAATCCCTCCTGGTGCTTTTCTGGAATCCCGCATGAAGGAAAAGCTCAGGTCGTATTTCGTGGTTTGCTAGCCCGGGCAATTGGCGGTCAGGTCACAACGTTCCTTCCCCAGGAAGGAAACGATGATGGCTTAATTAGAGTTGTGGTTAGCTTTGACGAATTCATGCTTCGAACGTTGTTTGGTTGGGTGAGCCAAGAGTCACTCAGCGCAGGTAGGTTGTCGACGACCTAGTAATGAAGTTATGACTAACTCGCAGTAAGAACGTTTCTCAATTGGCTGTGCAGTTAAGAGTCGAATCGCCGTAGAATTTGGCCAGGACGTTTTCGAGGCTGTCGAGTCAAGCAACCTGTGGACTCAAGATACTGGAGAGATTGAGACGAAGTGTCTCAACGTGGATGTTTACCCGGGTCAGTTTATGATTCTTGGGTTGGCTATTGGCTAGACGCGCTGCTACGAATTCATGAATTCGTTATATAGATCATAGACACCTTGCCCATCCTCCTTTTGCTCTAACGCGTATGTTTCCTGGGAGCCTCATCTGTCCACTGCCATCTGTTCTGAACAATGTTGAACCTTTCACATCTTGGAATAGGATTTCCTCGCAGGATTGACTCTCGAAAGTTCTTTCGTGGGTGGTCGCATTAAAATTGTGGACTGCTCTTCTTTCAGTGTCCGCAAACGTGGCATTCGTGTGGTTTTGCCACCGTTTCTCCTGCAATACACGTGAGACCGAGCCTAGTCCAGAATCCGTAGAACTAGTCATACCAAGTCGGCTTCTGTTATCGACATGCTCTGTTCCGATCCCGATTTCGGGGCGATGCAGCGGCTTCTCAAGGAGGTCGTGATAGTAGTGACGGTTCGATGGTGCTGAACTGAGATGGAGGAGCACTTGCGCGGGAAAATATATCGCAAGCTCGATAAAATTTGTCGCTGTTTGGTGTCGGTGCCCAACGTGAGATTGCAACTTGGGCCGTGGTTGCGCCCCGCCATTGGCGTCATGACGTTCAATCTATCGCGTGCAATAATCTATCGCGTGCAATAATCCGTAGAAATCTTGGCGACACCTGAAAATTCGCGCGCGCGCGGGAAGCCTTATACAAATCGTAAATTTAACCGTAACGCGTTAATAACAGCCTATAAACTATTAAATAACTATTAGTAAGTTATAAGGCTATATAAATACGTGTATAGAGCTATACTAACAATTTTTTTAGTAGAGTAGTCTATGTTTTAAGCTTACGAAGTTACTTCTTGCTCTTTTACGCTTACGTAGGCGCGTTGCCTACTAACTATACCTAGAGAGCTTATAACTAAAGGCTATAGGCTAGATTCTTATTATTAACTTAATATTTATTACTTTCTACTACTTAGCTAGCGCTATAGTAATATCGTAGCTATAGTAGACGTGTTAGTACTAGAGGTATATAGAATTAAGTAGAATTTAAAGCTTTATAGAAGTATTTATAAGTCTAGTAATCTTAACGCTATACTTAGCTACTCGCATAAATTATTACCTAATAATAAGTAAGTACTATATAATAAGCTATTTTAGAGTAGTTAGATATATTAGAATAAGATTATATACTAGCTATAGATAGAAAAAGGTATTTAAGTATACTAATCTACTATTAGTTAGCTACTAAAGAATTATAGCTAGAGTAAGCGTACTTTATAGTCTATATTAATACTATATAATAAGAAGCTCTATAAGACTTATTATAGGTATATAAGGTAATTTATTATTACTAATTTAGTATTTCTTAATAAGTCTATCTTTAATAAGAAGACTAGCTAGTAGTATAGAGCGTATACCTTAATTAGATTTACTAATTAATATTTCTAGAACGTATAGCGTAGTAAAACTTAGACTATTCTTCTAGTATATATAGTTAATAGTTATCTACTCTATACTAGTATAAAGAAGAGCTATTTTAGCTATAAGAACTTTCTTAATTAGATTTATAATTTACTACTATCTACGCTCTAGGTAGCGTATAGCTAGAAGCCTATAGTTATAATACTTAATAACGTTTTAATTTATATAAACTAGAAGATAGTAAGAGTAATTAAGAAAGCTAGCTATATTATTAGATTTCTACTATCTTATTCGCCTAATTTTAACTAGATTAAGCTTACCTTTAGAGTTCTAAAGGCCTAGATTCGCCGTAACTACTACTATATATAGTAGCGCTTTAATAACTTTAGTAACTTTCTAAAAGACTCTATTCGCGAAAGTTACTATAATTAGTTTATAAAAAAGCACTTTAAGTATACTACTAATAGCTTATATAGAATAGAGAGCTAGAAGTAGCTCTAGAAGGTATATAGAAAGATATAGAGATAGTAGTAGAGCGTAGAGTTATTAGAAAAGCTATTAAACTTATTAAGTTAAAAATTTACTACTAAGTAAAGTAGTAATATAGTAAAAAATATTAATTATATAAAGTCTATACTCTATAATTATTATTAACTTAACTAGTAACTCTACTATCTATAGCGCCTCTATTACCTATACTTATAAGTCTAATAGTAGTAGTAGCTACTCTATAGTACTATTTATACTTCTTTAAGTTATCTTATAAATACCTAATAACTCTATTCTTTAGTTTAAAGCGCTTACTAACTATAATCTTATAGAGCTTTTCTCTAACGCTTAATATCTTCTTAAGATCTTTAATAGTTTATTTCTCTAATATTACTATATCTTAAGTCTACTTATAGTTCTTATAATTATTCTTATAAGAGCTAGGTTTGCGGTCTTTACTACTATAAGCGCCTCTAGAATACCTAGCTAGGTAAGTTAGCTGTAGGTAGTACTGTCTCTACGAGCTATAAGAATAAGAGGTGCTAGCAGGGTAGGTTAGGTTAAATTTAGCTATCTAAAGGTAAGAAGTAGAGAAAAGGCTCTAAGAGGCTCTATATACAGAGGTGCTAAGCGCTAAGACGCTAGGCTAGGTTACGTAATAGAATTATATAACCTAAGGTTATATAACCTAAGGTAAATTCTAAACTAGACTATTATATTACCCTCTCTTATAGGGAGAGCTCGTCTCTAAGCTCTAAAATACGCCTTCTAGGTCCCTCTTCTTCTAAAACTCTTGCGTTATGCTCTTAACCGTCTCTTTTTAGCTTGTAGTAAGTGTATTTATGCTAGTTTTAAACTAAAAGCGCTTTTATAGCTACTACCTTTCCTCTAGAGAGAAAGAGGCTTGTTTTCGCGTTAGTAGAGTAGCTTTCTTACTAGCTCTCTTCTTAAACGATACTATAAGCTTAGCAGGGTTCTAAATCGCTTAGCGGCGCCTTTGCGTTACTCTTACGTCTTCTACTCTTACGAGTTTTAAATTCTCTACTATCTTCTCTAGAGTCTCCTCTTTTTTGTACGCCTTAATCTAAGCATCTAATTGTAATAGCAGCTCTAGCTTATCTAGGTATACTATATAAAAGTCTCTTACCTTATAGAGAGCGTTAATAAAGCCTATAGTATTATACTAGGTAGAGTTAGAATTATAAGTAACCTATACAGCGTAGTATTAAAGATAATTTTAATAAAGATAGCTATCTAGAATTTTATGTACAGGCTATTCTAGATTACTATTAACTTTAATAGGTAGCTACTTAGGCTCTACCTGCTCTAGTAATAGCTCTAAGGCTTTTCTTAACTAATTAGCGTAGAAGACGTTATGTATACGTATATACGCAGGTAGCTAGAGCTAGAAAGAGTAACTCTTTATAGTAATAATTAGGTAAGAGCTATATATCTATTAATCTAGCTTTATACTAGGCTAATCTATTAAAAAGCTACGAGGTTTAACGTAGACGAGGTTACCTACTACAAAATTAGGTTCTTAGCGCTTTTTATTTACTTAGAGCGCCTACCTAGCTTACGCTTTTATAATATTACTTTGTGCGATTTTAGTAGCTTTCTTTATAGTGTTATATTGCTTCTTAGTAAAATTCTAAGCTTTCTAGCGTAAAAGACGCTTACGTAGAGTAGAGGCTTTTATTATACGCTTCTTCTAATTCTAGTAGTATATTAGCTAGTATCTAAATTTAATTTTGTACGCTATTAGTTCTATAGTTTTATATAGTAATATAGCTTATGCCTAATCTATATAGAGTAGAAGGTCTAACTAATTATTCTAGTAGTAGTTAATAAATAGACGTAGATACTAATTAAGATATTAATTAATAATCTTTGTATTTCTATTAGTTTGCGAGTAGTACGTAGTAGAAAGCTTCTACTTAATTTCTATAAGCTAGTAGAGCTTATCTATAAAGGTAGAGGTAAACTATAGGCTGTAATTTAATATAATAGACTTAGAAGAACTATATATACGCTAGATATATTAGTAATATAGCTCTACTATACGTTAAGCTATAATTTTCTTATAGTAGAGTAGAGAGAAGCTTTACTTACTTAGCTAATCTATAATAACGTATACGTAGTTAAATTCTTTCTTATTAGAGAGAAAGCTCTTAAAATCTATAAAGATATTCTACTATACTCTCTTAGAGATAGGTAGAGGCTTTAGAAGACCTAGCGTCTTATTCTACAAAGTATAGCTCTAGTAGTAAGTCTTGCACGCTACTACGTACGTATTAATATCTTCTTACATACCTAGCTAGTAATATTAATCTTATAGTAACTAGGTAGTTTTTCTTTATTCTAGGTAGGTAGTTATCTAAGTAGTATACATAGCGCGTATTAAATACGTTTATAGGTAGTTAATAGTAGAAACTATTAATTAATTCTAATAGGTTAATAAGCTATCTTCTATTTTCTAGGCGAAGCCTAATATAGTAGCTTTTTCTTAAGCTAGCTATAGAGAGTTATCTAATTAGTTAGCTATAATAACCTAATTAATTATAGTATATAGATTCTTAGTAGAGAGTACCTCTATAAACGTATTAGCAGCGGCGATTTCTGTAGCGCTGCTAGCTAATCTCTAGGTAGCTAGAACTAATAACTTACCTAATAATT